TCATCTGGAAGTTTGGCACAGTTTAGTTCCTTGGCACCACATACCAAAAAAGATGTTGTGTCCGCCGAGAACTAAAAAATAAATATTAAAATCTCTCTCTCTCTCTCTCTCTCTCTCTCTCTCTCTCTCTCTCTCTCTCCTCTCTCACTCTCTCTTAAAAAAAAAATCTAGTTCTGAGAATTTATAGCTATGTGACCTTGACAATTTATTTAACATCTCTGTCCCTTAGTTCTCATATCTGTATACTAGTACAATAATACCTATCTAACAGGCTTTCCCGGGGGTATTTTCTGGAACAAAGTAAATGCTTAATAAATATTAGCTCCCTYCCAAGTGTTCTAAATTTACCCATATCCCTTCTACCTATGTAAGAATGATATTTAATACTGCTAAGAATTTATTGCTGAATCTTTTTTAAGAGCCTTCTGGAAACTAAATATTCCTTACATATTTTCTGTTAATGACATGGTGACATTATTAAAATACATGATCCCCTATCATTCCTATAGACATTCAACAATAAAAAAGTCAATATATTGACATTTACTTATAAATTTTTATATACCAGATTCTATGCAGGATCCTTATGATTCTAAGGCAATAAGGAAGAAATTTCAGTTTGAATTAAGGCTTTTTTGTAGAAAATAAATTAGTTTTCCATGAAACAAAGATTTTCTTGAATGCAGAGAGAAAGGGAAGAGAAGAGAGGGGAAAGGAAAAAAAGAGAAGGAGAGAGGAGAGATGAAAGAGAAGGGAAGAAGGAGGAAGGAATAAAAAAGTTCGTGTCTTTTCTTTTTCCTTTCCTTCCTATCCCTGCTCTCTTCTCTCTCTTCCTTCCTACCACCTTCTTTCTGCTTATTGTGGAGAAGTAAAGGAGCCACAGGAGGAGGATCATTGCCCCAGGAGTCCTGAGGAGCACCTGGCTATCTCAGCAGAGGTGTCAGCAGCCAGCTGCCAGCAGCCAGTACCTCCCAAGTGAATGAGGCCCTTCTTGATTTTTCAGCAGTTTTGGTCACTGTCTGATGAGGCTCACTAAAGTGAGCACAAGGAAGAAGAAGACAGCAGCCTCTAAGTTATCAAGTGTAGGGTTGACTTATTACACAGCCAAAGAGGATCAATGATACTCGGTAACAATTTAATGTGCTTGAAGTTTACCAACAACATTGTGTTTGAATTTTCTCAGATGACTAGGTAGTAAAACTGGGTAACATTCATGTATCTGATATTCAACAAATGATGTTATTCAAAATAAAAATTCTCAGGCCTGTAAAACTTTACAGTCTTCTTATGTTACAGCACCCAGGAAGATATTTCCTTTTAGCTCCTTCATCCTCTCCATTCATCCCCACCCTTACTCCATGCTTTACCTCTGGACAGTATTTAGCAAACACTCAATAAACATGAGTTCCAGAATCATTGAGGTCTGGATAATTCTTGTCAACTCAAGAGGTATACAGAAAACACATTTGTTTTCAACATTTATGGAAAATGTTTGTTCTCTAATATTTTAATTTGTTGACTAAGGTACTTTAACAGATGAATCCCAAGTTTTGGTACCCAAGGATCTTCTGTACCAATTGCTTTTATGACCAATTTGCAGATGATAGTTTATTTCCTTTATACTTGGAAGAAGGATTTGAGAGACATCTTTTCAAAATGTTCTATATAAAGCAGAGTTTATATATGTCTTAATTTTAATGGATAATAGTCCTCCAAGGTCTTTAAATATTTTATTTAAAATAGCTAACTGATAAGTTGTATTTTGGTCTTAGAAAAACTTGCTTGTTTCCTGAATGACTCTGCTACTTATCAGGTGACTTAAAGGGACAAGAAATAACACACACACACACACACACACACACACACACACTGAAAATGCAAGATTCAAAAAAGCCTGTCAAGTTATTTTAAAACCCAAGAACCTCTGGCATTTGCTTCTACTTTTAGCATTCATTTAAATTCTAATTTTTATGAGTTAGCTACTTTTAATTGAATAACTTATTTTAAAATACATTTTACCCATTTTGTACAGTTTATGACCATCTATATTGTRTGTCTCATTATAGAAATGGAAGAAAATTGTAACAGAAATAGCAGTTAAYAGCAGTAGTCAAAGTAATTGTAGTAGTGTCCAATTCACTTTTATCTCATTTTTTTTGCAAATATTTTAGGTCTTACTTTTTAAAAAAAGAGTTAAATGAATAACTTGAATGAGAATTTTATAATGCCTTGCACATAATAGATACTTAATTGATATTTCTTGAATAGAGAGAAACTAGTAAAAAGTTGTTTTACCTTAAATATGCACTAAAAAGAAGTTGAAATTTTAATGAAATGAACTTTGTCAGTACTTCCTTATGAATCTTGCTGATGATGTGTTTGTGTGTGTGACAAGACATATTTGTTGATTAATACTGATGTAATATTATTATGCTACATGTTCACACCTTTCCTGCTACCAATCAACTCAAGAAGTACCACTAATTCATAAGATGTTCCACACATTTTCCTCCAATGGATTAAGGACGTTGAATAATCTAACTAAATAAACCACAAAAKAAGTTTGGGTAGAATTAAGTATGGAGAGAATAAAAATTTGTGGTGGGCCAATAAATATCATTAACAATATGTGTTGGAGGGTTGTGATGGGCAGAAAAAGAAGGAGAACATAAAAAATGTTTAAATCCTTTGTGTTTCACTCATTGGTTTTGAAAGACAAGAGTAAGCTGTATAATGATCCCAACAGAATGATTCCACTTATAAAAAAGGACTATGCCTATTGCTATGTATGTTTTAGCTATGTGTTATATATGCCTTTCTGTATATGTTTATGTGTATAAATAAATGTAGGTAGAATAGAAAACAAATGCCAAATTGTTAATGGTGGTTTCTATAAGAGCAATAATATGGAGTTAACTATGAAGAGGAGCTTGAACATTTTATTCCACATATATGCACTGTATAGGAATTTTTTACAACAGATTATGTTATCTTTGTTTGATTAAAAATAAATAGAAAAATGTACTGTTTCTTTCTCTAGGGTATACTCAGATGGTAAAAATAAGTAGCTTATTTTATAATTCAAAGGAGAATGAGTTTGCTTCTACTTTCTTAATGAAATTACAAAATGTAATTTATTCAGAAGGCAGAAAGAAACCCATCAACTAATATCTAAGGTGAGCCTTTGGTGGTAATTGGCTCATATTTTACCCACATACTTCAAACAAATCCTGACATTTTTCAATAGCCAAGACCAAAATATCTGCTTTCTTTGCCATTTGGAAAGGGAAACAACTCTCTTTCTTCAGGGGCCACATGCTTATGTCTTCAGATGTCCACCAAATGTCTATTAAGCCTATAAACTGTATCATAGGAGAGGCAGGCATATTGTTACCCAGTTGATACAAAGAAAAGACATGCAGTATTTTAATCTGGTTCTTACCTCCCTAAGTAGAGTGCTTATATGTATGTAGGGATATACGTATTGAGAAAAGGAGAGTAGGGATGTGAAATGACTCATAAAATGCAACTAATTTAGCAGGAATTTTGATCTGTCTGATGTTTTCTGGGTGGTATGACTTAAGCATGCATTTATGGGTCTATCAGTACATACCCTCACTTCCCCTTTCCTAACTTCTTCCTCCTTACTGGTCTTGAAGCAGTCATATCAAAGACATCTGGAGGGCATATAAAGCCACTTAGCTTCAGACTTCTAGGCAGCAACRCACCTTCAGGCTGTGGTCTCCTGGCTCTGGAAACAGCTCTAGCTCTGTCTTCAGCACCATGAGCCTCAGACCCAGTGCCACCTCCTTCTGTACCAATACCAGACCGGTTCATGTCCTGCAGGTGTTGCTGCTGCTGTCACTGCTCCTGACTGTGCTGGTTCCCTCTACCACTGGACAACGCAAGAGAAATTTAGGGAAAGGTGAATCTAGCTATAGCTGTTCTGTTGCAGTTGTGCAGGGGGGACTTGAGAGGATGACTATCCTGGCCCTTCTAGGGCTAGCAAATGCCATTATACTAGTGACCCTAAGTGAAGGAGCTGAGCTTAGTGGGCATTACAGATGTGTTGTGCTATGTAATCTCCTAGCCATATTACTAAAGGTTTATCAATTATATGCCATTGTCTTATGGGAGTGGTTCAATTACCCTGAATTTACAAATAAAGAAACTAATGAAAATAATCATGACCACTAATAGAGTTTTATGTTCCCTCATAGTCGAAAGTGTAGAACCRTATGTTGAACTGCGATGCATATGTGTGAAGACGATCTCTGGAATTCATCCGAGTAACATCCAAAATTTGGAAGTGATCAGACCAGGGGCCCACTGTGCCAAAGTTCAAGTGATGTAAGTTCCTGCTTCTGTATCACTGCTTCATTAAGGAAGCCCTCTACTTCCTCACACCTACACTACTTTCTCCAGTCTCATGGATCTRTTCCCACCTAGGATACTCACAGATAATTGTGTTTTGTCTTGCAGAGCTACACTGAAGGATGGGAGGGAAATCTGTCTGGACCCAGAAGCTCCCAGAGTCAAGAAAATAATCCAGAAACTGTTGGAAAATGATGAATCAGCTGCTTAATCTTTATTTTCTACCAACTCCTTTTAAATCTCCCAGGAAGGGTAGGATTTTGAAGCCTTGACTTTCTAGAGTTGTTAATTCATATACTCATTTTTACTATACAAAAATTCAGGTACATTTTCCATTCTGTCTGCCAAATCCTACTTGACTCTGAGAACTTTGCTTAAAAAATGACATAAAGAAGATGAAAATAAGCAAGACTAACATATAATTTAAGGTTTACTCCCCAGTTTTTGGCTAAACACTGTACTTGCTTTGCATTTCTTTAGTTGAAAATTT